ATTTCCCCAAAACAAACTTATCAACCAAATAGTTAAATAATATTCTAGCCTATAACGCTCTAGGGTAATAGATGTTTAAATCTCACATCATTTTTTTACCCACCAATTTTTTCAACAGAACGAGGTATAAACCAATAATATAATCGACTTTGCACAACCGGCCACTTTTGTCAACATAATAAATACAATCATATTAGAAATAATAGAGAAAGAGAAGGAAATGAGAAGCAAGGAGAAGAAGAAAGAAATGGTTACCTATGGGTCAGGGTTCGCAAAAGTAAAATGCTTCACTGTTGCCCGTAGGCGTGCGAGCCCTCATAGGTAACCATGTGATTATGATATAAAAAAATATTAAGTTCGTTTTAGATATTCCATCGTACTTGGAATGTTGAAAGCATGGCAAGAGACAAATAATCTAAGATATTTGGATGGTGATCCACCAATATAATAACCCCTGAAACATCGAATGTCAATCCCTCTGCATGCATAGGGAAAGTACACTTGCACATAGAAGAGATTTTCTGATCGGTGCATTTCTCTTTAAAGGTAATACAAAGTTTAGGTAAGGGGTCATGAATTTGGTTCAAATGACCATATTGGAAGCATATGTGATCCTACAATATTTAGTGATCGTTGTCGCGGTTGAAAACGATTCCAAAGTTATGAAATTGTAAATAATAAACTCTTTATGATGTATATAGCTCCTTCTCAAGGTCAAGATATTAATTAATATAAAGCAATGTTTCTTGACTAAAATCGACCGATTAGCTATTCCCGTTTGGTAATTATATATCACAACTACATATTCTGAGGTTTTCAGGGTCGCAGCTACCATTATACGGCCGTAGGCGCTATTTGAAATTTATCAACATTTACCGGGAGCACCGGTAAATTTTCATATTAATTTTTTCTCAAAAGCAGAAGTGTTATAGGGGCTAAATTTTCTAGTGCTTATAATACATGCACAGGAGCATCTAAATATATCGAGATTGTAAAGAATCACTATCCACCCAATTTTCAAAATTTTCCAAAACTTTGTAATACCATTAAAAAAGTTATCTTTTATTTAAAATTAAACTTTCATTTTCATTGATAGAAATATTCAAAAACATAAAAGTGTGTATACTCTAAAAGGTATTTTGTGAATGATAGGTCGGTAGTTTTCGGTTTGAGCCCCGACGCAGTGGTGCGAGTGTAGCAATGCAATTTAGTCTCGACACGGCACTGATGTCCTTTTTTTTGGCAAGAGACAAATAATCTAAGATATTTGGATGGTTATATAAATCCAATTATATTTGATAATTGGAATATATGTATAAATGGAAAAACTATATTTGATAGATACTTGTTGTATGAAAGAGGGATTGTTCAATTGTATCACTTGATTGAGAAAACTCATGTTAAGTCTGTTCAGTATTTTATGAACCTCGGTGTGAAAGGTAATATTATGATTATTGATATTTATGATGCGATACCCAGGTTATGGAAAGATGATTTAGGGTTAATATAATTCCTCGAGGTCTGTGTTATAAGTTATTATACTTATTCTTTTATATGTTAGGTTAAAAAATACAGTATTTGGATGTGGGTTCAAGAACAACTTATGATTATTTTATAGAAGTACTACAATATAGAATTACTATACTCATATAAAAAAAAAAAACTTCAATTTAGATTATTGGGGGAAGCCATATATATACTTATGAGCACAGGCGCGCCGGAAGCAGTTTGGGATTTGGGGGGGGGGGGGCGGCAAACATTCCAGGGGGCTCACCTTCCAGGGGCAGTGACGTAACGAGCAAAAAACGTTTGGAAGGGGGAGGCAGAAGAAAAATCTGCCTCACCACCACTCTTACACGTTACATGCAGGCCCCGCGGAACGTTTTTCAAAGTGGATTATTAACGATCAGGTCGAGCGTAAATTGGCGTGGGGTCCAGGGCCTGAGCCCCGACAGGGGGTCATGGGGCTGAGCCCCCAGAAGCTCAGGGGTTTTAGACATTAAAATGAAGGTCAGATAAGCATATTTATATACCTTATTTGTGAGACTGGCAGGCCACTAATTTAAGAAGAGTCCATGGAGCAGAGCCCCCGGAAGCTCGGGGGTTTTAGGTATTTAATAACGGTCAGATGAGCATACAGGGGACCGTCTTAGGGCCCTTGGTGAGGTCCGGGGGCGGGGGCCCCCGTAAGCTCTAGGGATTTAGGCATTTAATTACGGTCAGATGAGCATCCAGGGCCCCGCGTTAGGGCCCTTGGTGGGGTCCAGGGGGCAGAGCCCCCGGAAGCTCGGGGGTTTTAGGTATTTAATAACGGTCAGATGAGCATACAGGGGACCGTCTTAGGGCCCTTGGTGAGGTCCGGGGGCGGGGGCCCCCGTAAGCTCTAGGGTTTTAGGCATTTAATTACGGTCAGATGAGCATCCAGGGCCCCGCGTTAGGGCCCTTGGTGGGGTCCAGGGGGCAGAACCCCCGGAAGATCAGTTTTCTTTTAGGTATTTAATAACGGTCAGATGAGCATACAGGGGACCGTCTTAGGGCCCTTGGTGGGGTCCGGGGGCGGAGCCCCCGTAAGTTCTGGGGTTTAAGGCATTTAATTACGGTAAGATGAGCATCCAGGGCCCCGCCTTAGGGCCCTTGGCGGGGTCCAGGGGGCAGAGCCCCCGGAAGCCCAGGGTTTTAGGTATTTAGTAACGGTTCGATGAGCATATACTAGGGACCGCCTCAGGGCCCTTGGTGGGGTCCAGGGGGGAGAGCCCCTGAAGCTCGGGTGTTTTAGGTATTTAATTACGGTCAGATGAGTATATAGTAGACCGCCTTAGGGTCCTTGGTAGGGTCCGGGGGCTGAGCCCCCGTAAGCTCTGGGGTTTTACTCCTTTACTGCTTTTTAGTTTTTGAGGGCGGGGGGCGTTTTTGGGGGGCAAAAATGCGTTTTGACCCCCACCCCCACTTTTTTGTTGCCCCCCCCCCCCCCCCCACATCCGGCGCCTATGTATGAGCATCTTCATAGTTTTGTTGGTGATAAGTTATACTCGTTTTTTAAACAGGAAATAGAAAACATACAAACATTTATTTTTATCTCGCGGGAGCGTTCCAAGGATATGGCAGGCAGGAAGATGATGAAAAAAAACTGTAGGATAAGGAAAAGAAAATAGCCATTAAAATGGGAAAGCTGGGATTACATTTTCTAATGTGGGAGCAGCTTAGTCTTAATTGAGATTTTTTTCTTCTCCACCGTGAGTTTGTTTAAGTGTATCTATTTCGCAGCCTGGTTAACTTACTTATTTAGTATGTTTCTCGGGTTGAGAATGTCAGCAAACATCCTCTGAGTGGGTAGTGTGTGTGTATGTGTGTGGGTGTGTTTGCGTGAGGGGGGGGGGGAGGGGCAGGGAGGAGCATGACTTTTTTCCTTGCACCAGTAAAAAAAATGTGTATAGTCAAGAGTGAATAACATGGACAATTGACTTAAAATTATGTTTATGTACTTTAAAGCCGAACTGTCCTAATTGTAGCTACTTGCTCCCTCTATATAGAAAACCATGCCTAATCGGTGACAATTATTGATCTACCATGATCCTCTTTTTCTTATGTTATTTGAGAGCTGAGTTGATGAGATAACAACCTGTGCAGCGACATTGCAGGGTGCTCTAATCCCTCCTATAAAGTAGTACAGATAAGCTTTAAGTTTACTTTGTTGCTCAGATATATATACTGCAAATGAGTTTTGTTTAATTATGTTTATGTATAAACAGTTAATATTGAAAAGGTTTATTTATTTTATTCAAGTGTATGTTGTTTTTGTTTGTATTACATTTGGAGAAATAAAACAAAATTACTATTACAAAATATTATAAACATCTTTAATTTATCTTAATTTTTTATTGAAATATTGAAATGATACTTTAAAAAAATCTTTTCCAACATAAATTGTTTTTCATCGTTGACATAACTTTTTAAAACAATTGTGAACGTTGATCGCTTCACAGAAACAGAAATTTAAATGGGCGATTTCGTGACGTCATTGTGATGTAGTTTTCGACCATTCTCTCGCTTGTTCTTACACACGAATTATTGACTAAAACACTTCATGTCTGGAATGTTTTGTCTCTGTTGATAGAATTCACGTTATTTTGTACAATCAGCTAGGTCAAATTATTGCAATATGTGAAATATATGTGAAATTTGAAACAATAAACTGAATCTGAAACTGAAAGATTACGTAACAGACGAAAGAAAAATACGATAGTTTACATCTTAGTGAACCTAACCTTCAAACGGTCTGGTTTGATACAACCTTAATTTTCACCAACCGGTTTCTCTTCATTTTCACCCTTTAAATCATCATAGATAAATTGGTTTACCCTCTTGTGTAATTTTCAAGTTAGACATGGTACCTGCGACAAGGTAAAAAAAGGTCCTCAAAAAAATTTGTAGCAACTTTACAGCGAATAAACTCATTAGATTGTTATGTTACTTTTAACAGATCATTCAAATCCTGAAAATACATCTTATTTCCTGAATGCCCATTATGTCAGATATGTCAGATATCATGTTTTAAATGGTCGACATGCACAACTTAAATACTTACTTAAAATTCAACCACTTTTACTGTTCTTTTTTACCTGCCACACATATTCCACTATTATTAGAGCCTTTTACCTAGCTGATACAATCCTTTTTTTTTTCTTCAAAAAGACGGACTCATATGCATCAATATCCGTTTTTGTCGTAAATAGATCAAAACTGACGGGAAATGGAAGATCACAAGCACCATGACGTCATTTCTATCACGTTCAGTAAACACGCGTCTTTCTATAATGATATTACACCTTCATTGCAAATACAATTAAATGTATTTTTGTACCGTCCATCACATTGTCACGCCTTTATTAATCGGCTCATCATTTGCAACTTTATTTTTTTCAATATTTATAAATATCATGTTTCGTTTTGGTCTTAATTTCAGACCCCATATTTCCTGAAGGTTCGTAGCACAACCAGTCATGGAAAATACATCGGTTACTTTCAACTTCGGAAGCAACGATTACTCGCTAAACACCACGTCTGGCAGCATGTCCCCCGTTATGGACATCGGTTCGATAGTTCGAATGATCTGCTACATTCTCTTGAGCCTAACCATCGTAGCCAGCAATGCCTTAATCATAGCCACCTACTGGTCGGTCAAAGAGATCCGCAAGGATATTGCAAACACTTTTATCGTCAATATATCATACGCAGATTTGATGGTAGGACTCATCAATATCCCCTTCTTGGGGATAACGGACTTCTTCCAACGCTGGCTTTTTGGAGAGATCATCTGCAAGATTCGTGTTGCCTGGGCTTACGTCAACACCTTTGTACCTGTACTGGTGGTGGTCCTCCTGGTAGCTTTTCATCGGCTGCGGATGTCCAGGAACCATACTTACAGGAACGCTGTCAAACAGGTTCACGTCACTATCATCATGGCCGCCTGTTGGTTCCTCGAAGCCTGCTTTGACCTGTTCGTGGCCTTTGGATTTCCTATAATCACCAAGAAAAGTGTTCTGAATTACGACTTTCAGTGCGACATGGAATTTCCTTACACTAGTCTTAGTTTCACAGTTTTTTTCGTCGTTCTCAAATTTCTGATTCCTTTGGTGATCTACATGGTTCTCTGTGTTAATTTGTTTCTGTCAATCCGAAAGGTATCAAATCGGATAAATGATTCTAGTCGAGCAGTTGCTGATACGACAAGAACCATGGAAACACGTGGCAGGAAGTTTTTAAAAAGCAACGATGTGAACATGCCAGGAAATGGCGAACAGTCAATCAACAGCATCAGTGGTGAATTTGACCAGAAATGTAATCACCTAAAAACCATGAAAGAACCTTCAACATCTCCACATAACCCAGTCGTTAATAATTTTATGGTGGTGTTTGACGTCTCTTTTCAAGGATCGTCCAACGCATCAGGTCTCCACCCCGGTCAAACCTCTCGAAGTGAACAACCGACATCAAGTAACCAAGTACCCTGCCCTCGAAATAATACTGGAAGCACTCGAGCCCAGAAGCACCGTCTGTACGGTCATAGGCGATCTGCTGTCATGTTGTTTGTGCTTGTGAGTGCTTTCTTGGTCTTCTGGACACCTATTGTGAGCATATCTATTATCATGGTGGTATGTCCAACGTGCATCAGAGTCAAAAGCTTATATTGGGCCTACCTGATAGTCTACTGTAATTCTCTAGTCAACCCGTTTCTCTACGCTGCAACAAATCGCCTTTTTCAGAGAGGCTTCATAAAGGTTTTAAAGTTGAGACGGTGGAGGCGCTTCCGGAACGGATTTTGCACCTCGTAGTTTCCAGTTGTCAGAATAATGTGAGAGTCGTGTATACACGAAGTTCAACTTCAAACGAAGTGATCCACCAATATAATAACCCCTGAAACATCGAATGTCAATCCCTCTGCATGCATAGGGAAAGTACACTTGCACATAGAAGAGATTTTCTGATCGGTGCATTTCTCTTTAAAGGTAATACAAAGTTTAGGTAAGGGGTCATGAATTTGGTTCAAATGAACATATTGGAAGCATATGTGATCCTACAATATTTAGTGATCGTTGTCGCGGTTGAAAACGATTCCAAAGTTATGAAATTGTAAATAATAAACTCTTTATGATATATAATAATAATATAATAACGTTTATTTACCCAGGGTAGCCACTTCAGTTATAAAACTGTTCTTCCAGCGGGCCCTGCATAACATAATGTTATTAGTACCCTTCTCCAATCTAATATGCTGAGCGCCTAGCTAGAAGGCAGAAGGTCCCATTGTTATAAGTCTTTGGTATGACTCGGCCGGGGTTCGAACCCACGACCTCCCGTTCATGAGGCGGGCGCTCTAACCACTGAGCCACCATGCCCGGTTTTAATGTATGATGTATAGCTCCTTCTCTAGGTCCAGATATTAATTAATATAAAGCAATGTTTCTTGACTAAAATCGACCGATTAGCTATTCCCGTTTGGTAATTATATATCACAACTACATATTCTGAGGTTTTCAGGGTCGCAGCTACCATTATACGGCCGTAGGCGCTATTTGAAATTTATCAACATTTACCGGGAGCACCGGTAAATTTTCATATTAATTTTTTCTCAAAAGCAGAAGTGTTATAGGGGCTAAATTTTCTAGTGTTTATAAAACATGCACAGGAGCATCTAAATATATCGAGATTGTAAAGAATCACTATCCACCCAATTTTCAAAATTTTCCAAAACTTTGTAATACCTTTAAAAAAGTTATCTTTTATTTAAAATTAAACTTTCATTTTCATTGATAGAAATATTCAAAAACATAAAAGTGTGTATACTCTAAAAGGTATTTTGTGAATGATAGGTCGGTAGTTTTCGGTTTGAGCCCCGACGCAGTGGTGCGAGTGTAGCAATGCAATTTAGTCTCGACACGGCACTGATGTCCTTTTGCACTTGCGTTTAATCTACTAAGTGGGAATCCGGTAGACATAACTCTTAATTTCAAATATTGTTCGTGTTTAAAAGCAATGTATAAAGGACTTCTAAGCATCGAAATCGATAAACTATTTCAACGCCTTCAGCGTACACTAAATAATTAGTAATCGAAATGTTGAATCGTGATTTTAAAAAAAGTGTATTTCCCGTACCTTCCTACATTTTCAAACATGCATTTCCTATCATAATCATCATAGATTATCTCTAAACAGTGGCGGATCCAGGGGGGGGGGCCCGGGGGGCCCGGGCCCCCCCCCTTGAGAAAAAAATCATGTAAAATCACGTGATTTTTACCTTTTTTGGGGGTTGGGCCCCCCCCCTGGCGCTCAAGGGGGGGGGGGTGCAAATTGAAATTTTTTTGAGGAACAAAAAAAAAAAAATGTGCTCACCCCCCCCCCCCCCCCCCCCCCCCCACTGAACGAATTTTTGGCCGGCGCGATTTTCAAATTTTCGGGAGCAAAAAAAAAAAAAAGTTGGGCCCCCTCCCCTAAGAAATCCTGGATCCGCGCCTGTCTCTAAATGCCACAAATTTTTAAACCCTTCTTATTTGACTATATTTTCTTGAAATTTAAGCTTTACATGATTATCTCAGAACCCTCAAAATTCTTTTTATATAAGCATGCATAATAATTAGCAAATGGTGATGGTGATGATGATGATGATGATGTAGTGGTAGTAGTAGTAGTAGGAGTAGCAAGGAAAGTCATAGTATTGGTAGTAGTAGTAGTAGTAATAATACTAATGATAATAATGATAATGATAGTAATAATAGCAATAATAGTAATAATAATGATAATTACAAAGATATTTATTTATTTATTTATATTTGATTTTTTTCCCATGCCCATGACAAGAAATATTTACACGTAAATTCGGTCCCATCGCACGTATTACAATAGGCCTTGACACTCCAATGGAGATCCTAAACAGAATGGGGAAAAGGGGTTTGCCGCTTTTTTTGTCTTTTGTCTCTTCCTTCTGCCAATAATTTCAAAAATATCTATGAAAATCCTCCATCACTTGTCAAGTTCTTGCTTACAGTGGTATATAAGTGTCGTGGTCTAGGCGGTAGGTCACCAGACTGTGGATCACATTGTTCGCGGTTCGAGTTTCGCCGCGGCACTTTTGTCCTTCGGCAAAACATTTATCTGCCTTTGCCACACTATTGTCTTAACCCCCAAGTTAGGTAAATGGGTACCTGGAAATAAACAATAATTTGAAATGGTAGACATGCTAAAGCAGGGGTAATAATTGTGGAGGGCCAGGAGTGTCAAATTTGACAGATTTGAGCGCTTTACAATAACCACTATTAGTACTATGGCCCTTATTCCGATTTTTCTTTATTTTAAATGAATTATGCAAGAAGGTACAATTTCATTACAGATTATCAAAATGACTTATGCTAAAGTGAGTGTCATCAATGAAGAAACTTTTAGAAAATCTGTTTAATAAACGTTGTTGAATATATGTTCGTTATTACTATCGTTGAAATATGTTCGGGATAACACACACACATTCAGAAGAAAATAAATCCAAATCAAATCAAATCGAAACTCAGAACAATAGAGATTTTTGTTCAATAAGTTTTCACTTCAATTGTATAACTGTTACGAAAACTTACCATTAGTAATTTCAACAAACATTTGAAGTATAGTGTATGACAAACAATTAATACAAATAATGATGATAAAGCGTCCTCTCTCTCTCTCTCTCTCTCTCTCTCTCTCTCTCTCTATATATATATATATATTTAAATTACAATGTGGTTCACATGTTCATGTTATTGTGCAATATGAGTTCATGCTATAAATGCATCAGGTACGATTTTAAAAGATATTAATGTATTACCTCGCTAAGTTTTGTTGGTCTAAGGGCATTTTTTTTTTAGATGTATTCAAATAGTGCATGCACCTTGAACCTCGTGTTTGTATTGATATATATTATATATTTGTATTATGTATTGTGGTTCATAAAATACAGTTCAGATGCTATACAGTTAAAATCAGATCTTGAATAGTCTATAGAGGATAATAATTATTTACATTTACAATCTTGCTTCACAGCAATTTCATAGGAACAACATTATAATTGACTATCATAAGTACTTAATTAAATACATGTGAATTGTTAACACGTACTTCGTGTTTGTAAGAATTTTGTTCAACCTCGTTTCTGATTTAGTCTCAAGGCCCTGTTTTTAGTATACATTCAATATACATGATCAAGATGAATATACTGTTTACTTTCTTTCTTCTTCTTCTTCTTCTTCTTATTCTCTCTCTCTCTCTCCTTACATACCCTCCCTTTTCTTTCATTCTTATGTTCTCTAATATGAAGTAGGTATTTTAACTTTTTCTAATTATCCTTGATATGGTATAGTAGTAAGGGGTACAATGTATACTAACAAAATTAAAAACAGCAGAAAAGCACACAAAAAGCAAATGTCAAATAATTCAAAATCAGACATCCAGTTGCATTTGTTGTATCATAACTTTTATTATTAATTCTCTGACTCGCAAACAACAATAGAAGAAAAAGGACTGGTGATTTTAAACAAAGTTATTTCAGGACTTTCACCTCATTGTGCGAATTGCAACGAAATTAAACGAGTGAACATTATGATAGTAAGTCTTACATGCGATCGTATGTTTTTCCTGTTTCTTCGCAATTATTCTTACTTGCATTACATTAGAGATACATTTTGCTAAACTTATTATTATCCTTAAAGGCCGGTTCCACTCCAAAAATAACTTATTTTCAATAGAAGCAGGAAAATCAGACAAACCAATCAAAAAAAGTTTGAGCAAAATCGGATATCTAATAAGAAAGTTATGTATTTTTGAAAAAAGTCTTTAAAACTATGGAACAATGAAAATCATAAGACAAATTGGAAATGCACTCATGAGTCTGTGACGTCATGTCCTCACTATCCACCAATTGTTTTCTTTATATTGATAATATAAATTTCCTAATTTCCCCTTAAGAATATAATTTCTTCACACCAGCATCCAAGTTAGATTGATAGTAATATGTTTTCAGTAAAATCATGAAAAATTGACTTTTGATAAACTATTTAGATAAAAGTCAATAATTATGAATAGGCCTAAAATATTCAGAACATAGTATCAATTCTTCAAAGTTCATAAAAGATTTTTTGCAATGTCATGCACGCAATATGATACAAGTCATTTAAGCTGGGCAAAGGCATGGGTAAATCAAGTTTTGGGGGATAAACAGAGAAATTAATGGGATTAAACTATATAAAGAAATTGATAAATAGTGAGGACATGACGTCACAAACTGATAACCAAACTGGAAATATGTGTGTAACAGTGTAGTGATTTCCATTTTCTATAGTTTTACATACTTTTTCAAAAATTCATAACTTTGTTATTAGTTATCCGATTTTAGTTGCTCAAACTTTTTTTGATTGGTTTGTCTGATTTTTCTGCTTCTGTAATAATATTTAACTTTTATATAGCGCTTAATGCAATGTCTCTAAGCGCTTTACAAATATACTATTACCCCGGTCATTGGATTCAGCGCTTGCCCGCACACATTGTGCGCACAATCTTCACTCCCTGGGGATCATTCCAGCCAGGCGTTACATGACGCTAACAAACTGTTTGACCAACAATGACGGTCACATCCTACCGGGTACCCATTTAACACCTGGGTGGGGAGTAGCAAGTGCAAGTTAATATCTTGCCAAGGATATTAGTGCCGTGTCTATTTAAAGTAAGTTATTTTTGGAGTGGACTTGTACTTTAAAGAGAGGATTTTGCTGTACTTTCTGCGGTGTGAGAGTTGAGCTGCATGATCAGCACTTTAAAGGTACTATGTCCCTTTTGCAGCCAACCTCAAATTCTGTAGAACTTTGCAGGAATTATATCTGTGAAATTTAAACGTTAGCAGTGTCCTCATATTCAAATTATGCAAGGAAACCCGTTTACTTGCTAGACTTCACTGTCAGACACTATTGAGTGACTGACTGGCCTTTTTTCTTCTTTGGTAATAACATACATGAAAAGAGTTGTTAAGGGTACATGAGCATTTGTCTACATCAATAACCCACTTCTTGTGATGGCCAAGATTAAACTGATTGAATCTTTGCGCAGCATAAAACGTGTGACCAATCGGTACAATTGTCTGAAAATCAAGACTATTACTTTTGGGCTCTATAGCCCTAAAGTCGATTTGACAACTAAAAGTCATTATTTTCCAACTTGAAGACATTTTCAAGCCCCACCTTTTGTAGGGAAGTTCTAAATAAGTATTATCTTTCAAATGCAGTTGGAATTTAACTTTTTCATTTTTTTGGCCTGCAAATGGGACATAGTACCTTTAACAAAAATAAGGAAGGATTTTTAAATATATTAATTTGCCGATTTCTGCTCATAAAGGTTGTTTCCTTGGAAATCTACAAGACTCTTAAAATTGATGATGATTTCTTTTAAGAGGGGAGGGGTATCTTCTTCTTAATTTGTAAAACGTGTAAAACATAACATTTTAAAGGGGTAAATTTCATATCGGAAGTATGTGTGTACGGTACTACGGGTACTGTCCATCACTATATCTTTTCGATTAAACCTGAAAGTATTTATTTAAAACATTACCTTTCACATCGAAACTGAAAAATGTCAGGAACACGGGCACCTTAATAGGGGAGTAGCTGCAAATCCATATTATTTGGTGGCAAATTAGTATTATTCATGATTTGTGTGCCCTTATCTGCATTCGTCTTAAAATAGAAAGCTATGGGGATGTTGTTTAGGGGGGGGGGGGTATATTTCTTTTGAATTAGCCATCAGTAAACTGAACAAAATCATCGAGGAAGGAGTCAATGTCCGACGGTGTATTGCCGACAACTTATTGACGAACATCTTCACGATATCATATCATCCATTAACTCTATTATTTATGATGCAGGGGAAGATTATTCATCATCAATTTACTTGTTCTTTTTTAAACCCCTTATTGACTGTACAAACCCTGGTTTTAATCACCATGTAATAAACACAATATTCTCACCCAAGAAATCCTATTTGTCCGTTTGTTGTTTTATGTAATGTTGGAGTTGATTCCATTTTAATTTCTTCTGCATTCATGTATACCGTTTTTCGATAACAATATTAATATAAAGTACATAAGTATTTTTCTGACAATGAATCATAAATAAGCATATACATAATATAAATTTTCAAAAACAAAATGATTATCTGTCATGAATACTAAATTTTCTCAAACATTATAAAACATTATGCAATTATTTGCAGAAGAAGGACTGTCATTGTAAGCAGATTAACTCTATTATTTACGATGCGGGGAAAGATTTTCCATCATCGGTTCACTTGTTCATTTGTAAACCACTTATTGATTGTACAAACCCTGGTTTTAATCACCATGTAATAAACACAATATAATTGTCAACCAAGAAATCCTATTTGTCCGTTTGTTGTTTTATGTAATGTTGGAGTTGGCATCAGAGTGCAAGTATCATTTTGCGGATGAATGGTTGTTTCCGAGTATCTCAACTAGGCTAGGTATATTGTGTTTTGAGGTCAAAAATATCGCAATTTTTTTTTTCTTCACTGCAATGCATTTTATTAAGGCCCCCAAAATGATTTATAAAAGTCCGAAAAAATATTCGTGTAGTAGAAGTGTGTTTAATTTAATACATAAAATAGCCGCCAATTCTAGGGTTTTCTCCTAGATTTTGTCAAATATTTTGACCATACATACCTTTAAGTATACTTTTAGTGTACTTTGAAAGTCTACATGTAGGTACGTGCACGAAGATGAATTGAAGAGTGCAAGCGGCGCCGAGGAAGATGAATGAGATATTGGGATAAGGGCACTGCCCGACTATATTGCATTCAGTTGATAGTCCCACAAAAGATTAGGTTAGCGCAAATTTAAAGGAAAATGTTACTTTCAATGATAATGTTTTTATTACTTGATACTTGGTAACGTATTGAACACAACATGAGCAAAATACAATGAACCAATACTCAAGCACCCCGCTTTCTCTCACTTTCTCTCTATCTCTTTCTCTCTTATTCTCTCTCTCTCTTTCTCTCTCACTCTCTTTCTCTCTCTTTTTCTCTTACTCTCTCTCTCTCTCCCTCTCTTTCTGTCTTTTTCTTTCTCTCTCACTCTCTTTCTCTCTCTCTCTCTTTCTCTCTCACTCTCTTTCTCTCTCTCCCTCTCTTTCTCTCTATCTCTCTCTCTTTTTCTCTCACTCTCTTTCTCTCTCACTCACTTTCTCTCTCACCCCCTTTCTCTCTCTTCACATTGGACCCGACTCTGATGACACTGGTTACATTGTATTCATCGTCAGCAGTCAGCACCACCGAATTACAAAATGGCGACGTTCTCCACTTTCAGATAATTACATGAAAATTAATGTCACGGAAGCGTGTTTACAGAAGAAGGTGATCGTGCATATCGAGTTTCTCAACGGATATATGACGAGGAAACTCTTTATTGTTGGAGAAGTCAGAGACAGTGAATAGATCTTATTGATTTATTCTTCATGACTAGGGAAGTGATACTTTCCTTTGACAAAAAGGACATTTTATGTTCAAATGTCACTACAGGAGTGTAGAGCATACACGAAGGCCACATTAGAGATTTATAACATGAAATACACACAAAAATGAAACCACGATGAGAATGAACAGATAATGGAAAATGTGCTATCACGAAATTTGTTCATGAAACATCACACTCAATAACACTATATAAATGCCGCATATGTCTACACACAACAGCTTTTGCTAGTGAGCGTCATGAATTATTAACGACAACTGAAAAATTGATATGAATACCGTAATGAAAAAATTAGGTAACCTATATTGATATTCAATAGTTCGTTCTTATGAAATTATAAAGGCATTGTGACACCCCCGGCTCCACTCTCCCTCATTGCGGTGTTAGAAGGAAGAAAAAAAAAAGGTTCCTGCTACTACACGAAGCTGCTCCAATTCTTTGACACTTTGACATCTTTCAGATGATCACAAAAGGGCACAATTTGTAAGCGACAATGTGAAATGTAGGTAAAATGGGGACTTATCAAAGGGTAATTACATCAAAAGTAACAAGGAAATCTTTTCAAATTTGATAGGGTAATTATTTATCAGAGGTGAAAGGGGACAGTTATAAGGACGGATGTACTTATTAAAAAGGGGGAAATGCACACTTATCAGAAGGGAAAAGTGCATTTATTCAAAAGGAAAAGGGGCACCTGTCAAATTAAAAGGCAATTATCAGAGCTATGTCCCATTTGCAGGCCGAAAAATGAAAAGGTAAATTCCAATGGCATTTGAAAGATAGTACTGATTAAGAAGGGCTGGAAAATGTCTTTCTGTGGGAAAATAAGTTGTCGAATCGACATAAGTGATTGCAATCACTTATGTAAGAAGTCTGATTTTCAAACCCTTGTACCAAATGGTCGTATGTTTTGTGCTGCGCAACAATTCAAGCAGTTTAATTTTGGTCATTTCAATAAGTGGGTTATTGGTATAGAAATATGCTGTATGTACCTGTTACAGCTCTTTTTATTTATTTTATTACAAAGGAAAAAAGAAGACAGTCAGTCACTCAATAATGTCTGACAGTGAAGTCTAGAACGTAAACGGGTTCCCTTACATAATTTGAATACTAGGACGTTGCTAATTACGTTTAAATTTCATATACGTGACATATTCATAATTCCTGCATATATGCATATTCCTGCATATATGCATGTATACAAAAGGGACATAGTATATCTTTAAAAGAGGTATTCTTATACCTTAAAGGGGGCACTCATCAGAGCTGAAAATTGGCACTTTTTAGAAGGGAAATGCAATTAGTACAAAGGAAAAGGGGCACTTGTCATAGTAAAAGGAACACCTAACAGATTAGGATACGGGCATTTATCAGAAGTGAAAAGAGGGCTATTTATTAGAGTAGGGAAGGGGCATTTATTACAAAAGGGAAAGGGCACTTATCAGAAAGGAAAATACACCCGTTTAAAAGGAAAAGGGGTACGTACTAGAGTAAATTAAGGGTAATTAAGAATATTTACTTAAAAAGTAACTCGGATATCTTATCATATTTGATAGGGGCACCCGTCAGAGTAAAATGTCCACTTACTAGATATGAAAAGGGTGTATTTCTCATACCCAAATAGGATCACTCATCAGAGATGAAAAGGGGCAGCATTTTTTCGAAGGGAAAAATGCATTTAGTACAAAGGAAAAGGGACACTTTTCAGAGTCAAAAGGCACCGATTAGATTTGGATAGGGCATTAACCAGAGGTGACAAGGGGTATTTATAAGTAAGTGAAAGGGGCACTTTTGGTGTCCTAATAAAAAAGTGAGGGGGCACTATTTCCCCAGCCCCCCCCCCGATCCATGCGTCAATCCTCTGTCAATATATTTCAACAAAATATATGCACCAAATGACAAGAATTGAGAATGAAAATTTTGAATAACCATCACGTGCCTCTTGGGTCACTATAACTGCCCCCCCCCCCTTTGCGGCTGGATGCGCCCATGCACCTTACAATGATGATTGTGGGTGCATACAATTCTTAAAGAGCATAAGTATTATTCCCTATCTTCCCTTACTCTTCCTCTCTTTTTCCCCCACCCCATTCAAGTGCCGCCCAGGGGTTGCCCCTCTGCCCGATCGATCTTCGGCATAATGTCATTATGCTTTTTCACCTATCAAGTCTATAAAACCTCTTCTCATTTTGCCATCCATTCTATCTTCGTCTCGAAGTATATTGCTCCCCTTTAAAAGTTATTCCATCTAGTTTTCTTCCGACTTTTGATTGTTTTTCTTCAAGTTCCTTTCTTAATTCACAATTCAATCTCCTCAGTTCTTCATTTAACAATTCTTATTAATGCTTCGAAAATACCATAATACCTGTATACTACTGTTCTACTACATTCAGCTCAAGGAAAATCCCAACCAAAACAAAAACAAAACGTTCGGCACGATCGCCACTATTATGAGAGGTAAGAAAATTTATCGATGAATTGAGAAGTATACCATGAAAAGAAGTTAATGACGGTGCATTTGTGTGTGAAATGGAAAGCATATCGTAATTTAGGTTGATTTTACGGAACTTCTTCTCTACCGGATACGCTTTGTATTCATATTGTCCCACGTGCTTATATTGGTGGGAGTTAATTCGCAATGAAAGTTATATGATGATAATGTTGTTGATTGATCACTCGTAGCAGCATTAAAGACACACTCTATTGATTATCAGAAGTCTCAAACGCCGCTGGACAAAACTCACTAGAATTCACTAAAATTGACACTTCAGTAACAATTGATGACATCTAAAATAAAAAGCAGCAAAGCCAAAATACAATAAATTCAACTCATCAATGACAAAATGTTGGAAAAAATACTTGGACATTTAAATTAGAAATCGATTGTCAACCCTCTCCTACAGTGCATAAAGTCTAAGCATAAACGTAATGGGCCTCATACCCTCATTAGTGCTTAAAATGTACAGATTTTTTTGCACACATATACAAAATAAATAGGAGAAAAACTGGCGCTAATTCAGAATCATATCGATACTTTGACCCGTAAGTCTGGCGTGGAGATACCCTATAAAACATACCAAAACTCCACTAAGTCTTCATTAATTGTTCTGATAGTGGTCATGATTTAAAATTTGTTATGTTTCTTACCTGGTTCGTTTCAATATAATATACATGTACGCTTTCTCACATGTTTCATAGCAAACCGCTGCACAATGCAATTGCATACCGTCTAGTGTACCGACGTTGGGGTGTGGGCACGACTGAAGTTAGCCACTGTAAACTCAGATCCTCATTAAATTCATGTGAGTAATTCATCATTATGGACGCTAACTTCGGACACTCACACCCCACCGTCGGTACGGTGAGAAAGTGTACATTATCATTTTTTTCAAGAAAAAAAATGAATTAAAAAAAAAATAATTCACGCCTTCACCTTGGTTGCATAATATTGGTTCTATACCAATGATTGGAGTGATACAGCAAAGCAGTTATTAGTATACAATCAAGTATCCAGTATTCAATGGATGAGATGAAACAAAAATAATGAGCATGATTAGAGCTAAGAAGGGTATTGAAAATGGTTGGGTGCACAGGCAGAATGCTGCAGAATGCTGCAGAATGCTGCAGAATGCTGTATAACTTCAGCTCAAGTCCAGGGCTGGTGTTTAGATGATTACACTTTGAAAGTTGTATATGTGACTATAGAAAATTGTTGAGATCAAGCCTTGATAGAGATAAGTGACAGCAACCCCTCCTCCCCCTCCCCCCCCCCCCCCCCCGAAGTCACAGTAATTTAATAAATCCAAGTGTACATACCGAATTATCTGATTCCACCAAAGTTAACTAACTTCACAAATGTACATATCCCCATTTCCTTCAAAGTAACTTTAAAAAATTAAGAAAAACTGCCTCAGGCATTGACATAAACTTATATATAAACATTTAATTTTCAAATACAGAGCTAATTGTAGATATTTTTTAAATTCCCTGTAATTTAAAAAACTTTGTACACATCGTGAAGTATTATATTTCAAGGGTACTACCGGTATAGTTCTTTATAATGTCAATCTGTATGTACACATATCCTTGATGTTATCTTATATAATACCATAATATGCATATACTGTAGTTCAAGAGTGAAATACAGTAATTTAATTATTATTATTATTATTATTATTTTTATTTTATTTATTTATTTATTTTTTAATTTTTTTAAAAATTATTATTATTATTATTATTATTATTATTATTATTATTATTTTTTTTTTTTTTTTGGGGGGGGGGTAAATTATGTTATTACCATGCATATTTGTTTTTGTAATAAGCTACCCTACAACATGACTTATAAAAAGGAAATTATATCTGGAAAATGTGTTGATATATGATTTCCACACTGCAATATCCTTTTTCAAACCTTTCTTCTCTGAATAGTTTTTGGCTATCTTAAAAAATCTGCTTTGTAAGGAAAATACTGAGACGTGTGAAGGCTATTTATCTATTTACATTATTTGAGATCGTATGCCTGAATATTGTTTATTTTGTGTATTTTTGTTAATACTCAGATAAAAATGGACAAGATGCAAGTCCCCAGGAGTCATAGTTTCTTGATCATGATTGCAGCCATCTTTCTAATACTGTTGCTGAATAAGGGTAAGATGTGATGAATGTATATGAAGTTTTATAGAATTTTATATGAAATATTACGATATGAATTGTGATAAATTTTTAATTTGAGATCTTGGCACGAGCTATAATTCACTGATTTAATCCAAATTGTCAGCTCTGGTATGGGTCTTTTTTCACTCTGAATATGATCTTATTTGAATCTATTGGATGTAGGCTATGTAGGCTATGAGCCATTGTTAGAACTTTTCAGAGCTTTTCAGTACTTACAATGATTTGTTCCTATATTTCCTAAAGATAGAAGTTTGCACAGTGTAATTTTTAGTTGATAGTCCAAAATATTTCATGAATAGATGTTTGATGGATGTTTGATTTGGAATCAACAGAATTTCATTGTTGTTGTTGTGCAAGTGATAACTCCAGCACGATTTGTTTCAGGGTCTCCTTTTTACTGTATTCCTTACAAGATTTTACCAGTTTTTGTTCAGATTGGTAACAGTTATTTCAATCCTTCAAATAGGGTTTGATTTTGATGTAACAAATATCTTTCATACATAATAGCCCCATTTAGAAACCTTTTTTTAAGATAATGTCATCAATGGGTTAAGATTGTTTTGAGAGACCTGCAAAGAGGGAATAAGATCATCAAATTGTAATTAGAGTTGTACCCAAGATTTTTCAGTAGATTGATACTTCTTGAACAGGCTTTGGTTATAAGACTGTTTTACTGTTTAAACTTTTTGTGATGACACATTCAAGGAATCCCGTATTTTGTAGACTGGTGTTGATTATGCCAATTTACCTCCAGGATTATATACAAAGGAAGTAACTTTCTTCTTTCATCATAATTTCTGTTCCAGGGGTTTTGGGATGTGATGATCCAGGCACTCCTACCGACGGAGTGCGAGATCCACCTGAGAGTGGGGACCCCGTCCCCCTCCCCCCGAAGACAGTGATCCACTTCAGCTGCGATGAAGGCTATCTCTTGGATGGCCCTCCCAAGATCATCTGCACCAAAGAGAACAAGTGGCTTCCAGAAGACAGACCATCATGTATAGGTAAGCAGGGCTTATCATTAAGGCACGGTGGCTCAGTGTTAGAGCGGTGATTTCGTAAGCTGGAGTTCCCGGGTTCAAAACCAAGCCAATGTGCAAGTGCCCCTTGGTAAAGCATCAATGCTCGTCACCAAGTCTCATATAGAGCCATCAGTCCTATGGTTGCTTACTTACAAGCTAAACTGCGTTTCTCTAGCAGTCGGTAATGAATAACCACCTGAAATTAAAATTGTATCAAATCAAGGTGTGGTGGTCTAGTGGATAACTCAGTGGAATGTGAATCAAGTGAGACAGGGGTTCAAATCTCAGTTGTGGTACTAACATCCTTTGGCAAAACGTTAATAAACTCTTTCTACACTCAACTCAGGTGAAGTAAGTGGGTACTTGGTAGGAAGTAATTCCTTTGAATGTTTGAGAACATAATGAGGCAAACTCGGGGAAATCTGGAGTATTAATTTCTAAATTGCGATATAGGTTCATGGAGACATCGTTCTCTTGAATAAGCACTTTATAAACAGCGAATTAAGGTTGTTTTTTTCGTTTTTAATGCACTGTGAACCAAAGAGGGCTTTACCTTGGATGGACACTTCTGATATTGATGGATGGACGGCGAGCATGTGATTTGGGAACTGTCTCCATCGTGTGTTTTGCTTGACTTTCAGTCGTGAGAGTTTGAATCCTTTCCTCTTGCTAAAGAATTAAATATACACTAGGGATTAGCAAGAGTCTTTAATTAAGCACAATCCAAGAGGAGTGAAAATTTACCTGGCAAGAAGGACTTCTACCAATAGGCTGTTGATTAGAAAACCGGCAACGTGCTTCTTACGTTAAGAAATTGTCCTATGGCTTGCTAATTTACAAATGTAGATGTTGATTACAAGGTTACAAGCTTAGAGGAAGTAATTAAGGATAAGCTTGAACATATATTTGTAATTGGAAGCCATCATGATAGTATTAAGTTGCTTTAACATGAAAGGGAAAACCATACATCTCTGATTCATTCAACTCCTTGCAGGTTTTTGTGCTCACCTGACATACCCTAGTCTAAAACTACACCAACAGTCCTTTTCAGGACTACACACACTCAAGAAAGAAAGATTATTGAGAGTCCTTTTCAGGACTTCCCAATCCTCCCTCTCTCTCTCTCACATGGTGCAACTGCAAGCCTACTGTATAAGTCTAAAACTGGTCGTAAATAATGAAAAAACAACACAGAAAGTATTTTGGGGGACTGTTTTCAACTTTGAAAGTACTTTTCATTTGTCTTTTGTTCCAAATCTTTAGCTTAAAAATATGATTTTTGTCTATTTTCCATTTGTTAACATATGAAAATAGAAGAAAAATTGTCTAGTTTTCTCGGAAACACCATAGAAATATACAGCAAGTAGCTCCCCAAATATATTGTTCGCATATGAAAAATTACAAGGGTAGATAGATCTCATGCTTTGCTATAAGGTTCACGGAGGACAATGTCCTGTCAATTCAATATCCCATTGTTGTTTGAAAAAAACATAAATTCTGATTCCAGTTTTAATTTTGATTCTGACTGTGTTATTGATCCAGTTTTCAAAACTACAGGAAATTGGTCTCCTCTGGCATAATAAAGATGGTGCACATCAATGCAATAAAAAGGGATTAATGCTTTAAAATCTGCTATGGCGTAGACATTATTACTGATTATTATTGATATCTTATAGTTTGTTTGAAAATGTGCATAAAAGGTGAATATGCTTTTAGGCGCACAAAGGATTTTTAATGGGAATATGTCTTGCGTGCCTCACTTATTGCAATATCCTTTCATATAGTAAGGTGCTCAAAATCATTGTAATGTAATGGTGAAAATTTGAGTTAAATATGAGGAATGATTGTTCAATCAAATGAAAATTATCTTTATGACCCTATCCCTCTAAGATTGATCTGCACCTTTAAAAAAAAATCCTTATAATGAATTTCACTTCCTTAAAATTTGAACATCTTATGCAAAATCTACTTTATTATGCGCTGGCCCAAACCTGTAGAATTCATTTCCCAATGAAATTCAAAACTTAGTTTGACTTGAATCACTCAACTTCAAACTTTAAAAGAATATTATAGATGAATACCCAAATCAGCTAATAGTAGAGATAAACTAAATTTTGTTTGTTTTTGCTGTATTATAACAATTCAATTTTCATTCCTGTTTCCAACAAAATATTACAAAAGAATTATAATCATTTACAAAAATCAAGGAATGCATATTGGAAACAGAGGAGTCCACCATAAGAAATGCTTGTACGATTGTGGACCCCTCGAGTTATTAAATTAACGAATTTGTAACTACAAAAAGGAACTAGAAATAGGTAAAAAGGGAATGCCCCAAAAAGGGGATATCATTTTCTAATTAACTTTTACCCTCTAAAAATTAGAAAGGAAATTTATCATTAAACACTTCATTTGCTTTAAAAAAAAAATTATATGTTGGGTATCACACATTTAAGACTTTTCAACTGTCTTCCTGTTGGCCCCCTCCACAATATGTTGTGTATTCCGGTTTTCCCGCCCTGTTACAATTTTTTTCCTTATCTTAAATCGTCATTTGCCATTATCATTTGTTTGACAAATTTCTTTAGTATTTTGATTATATTTTGATTTGTCACAAGTTGTCGCCTTATAGGCTTTTTATTATTTGTAATTTTTATGCTTTTATTGTTGTGGATAAAAAAAAAACACTCATATATTTTAATTTACTTAGCTTTCTTGGATGGTCACATAGATTTGTGTAGATTTTGTTATAGCCATAATTTCTGGCAGTAATATTATTCCATGTGGACAATTTTAGAAATGATTGAATGAATGTACCCTAAATATTAGTAGACCTCCATTGTATTTGTCTATTTTCCTTCATTAAAAACAAAAACAAACAAAAAACTTTTGAATATAAGATTTCAAAGGGGACTGACTTGGTTGTTTAATGTTGAGTATTCAAACTCTTCATATTTGAAAAGTACCTGCATGTTTTAAATATTTTCTTTCTTTGGTATTACAAGAAAGCTTTCAGATTAAATGCTTTTTAATTGTATTGTATGGGTTACATGTATTTCCAGAGAAGAGGTTATTTATCAGTGAACATACACATATAACAGCAACCATAGCATGAACTTGAATGAGCTGTTTGGAGTGATACTACATGATGTCTCAAATCCATTCTGAAAGACTGCCCTCTGTCAGCAGTCTGCATCGTAGTTCAGCTCCAAGATCTTTACTCCAGGGCACAAACGAGCAGTTTAGCCTCTCGCAGTTCATGTTTGGACAGGCATAGCATAGATGTCTTCTTTAGAATTGAAAGGAAAACATATATATATATCAGTTATGAATAAATGACTTCTGCCCTACTTCTACAAGACATTTTCTTTGGCATGCTTATTGTTACCAAACACATTCAGGTTGTATGCTGACACTGGCATTCTCTGATGCATGTTAAAAGTAACTATATTGTAATACTTCGGAATTGCTATTTTTGTTTCTGACCCTGTTTTATTTGAGCCTTTATAATCACCAAAACACTCAATAATATCATCTTTACATTGATCTACATTTGCCACTCTCCACCCAGGTGTTAAATGGGTACCCGGTAGGATGCAAAAGCTAATGTGCTTAGATAAGCAAGTGTGCGCTTGTAAAAATGACGCCTGACTGGAATGCTCCCCAGGGAGTGGAGAATGTGCATGCATTGTGTGCGGGTAAGCCTGAATCCGATGACTGGGGTAATAATATATATATATCTGTAAAGCGCTTTGAGAGGGCCTTCGGTCTTGAAAAGTGCTATATAAGAACTAGCTATTATTATTATTATTATTATTATTATTAAATTCCAAAAGAAGCATACATATAATTGTAATTATGATTGGGTTAGTTTTACCTAATTACTAATATTTAGCATGTGTGTGTTTGTAATTAGCAACCAGAGGACCCATGGCTTTAAGTCCTCTCTAAGGGACTTGGTAATGAGGATTAATGCCATACCAAAGGGCACTATCTCGTCGACTGGTTTTGAACCTGGAATCTCCCGTTTAAGGGACCACTGCTCTACCACTGAGCCATCGCTCCTCCTGAAGGCATATATTACAAATATTAAATACCCTGCATTTGATTTTTCAATTTAGAATGTGAGCCTATTGGACCTTGAAGTAGGGATACAAACCCTTTAAGCATTAATTTGCAATGAAATCTGCACAAGATGAACACAAATATTTCTTCTATGAAAAAAGACCTGTACCCAATTTAATTAACACAATGCTGTTTTGCTCTTGGATTGATATTGCTTAAGCTAATGCTTACAAATTAATTCTACCCTTGATAAGGAAAGGTGAAAAAATTCATGCTCAGAAATGGTGTGCCCCTCGATTTTCCACTTCTTGAATGGTGCATAAATCTTAAACTCAAAGCCCAAAACAGTCATGATTGAATCCTTTTCAAGGCGTTGATGCACTGTAAATATTGCCAGGATGAAAACAGTTTTATATTCAAAGGATATTGCTTGTTTAAAGATTTTGACATAACCCTGAAGGATGCTTACTTTTCACTTGCTTCTATTGTTTTGAAAATTTAGGGGACAAAACACATTCATGTAGATCTATATTTAATTCAAGTTTTAATGATATCAAACATTTCCTCTACATATAGTTCATTTTATGGATGCACAATAACTATTTCATAAAATGAAATTTATGTTGTTTTTAATCATTTTAATGCATGGTCTTTTTGAGAAAATAACCAGTACAAAATCTACAATCAGTTTCAGAAATGCTTTAGTAGTACTGTACAATGTTTCTTGGGTATTTAGACATTTGGATTCATGCTCTTAACATAAGAAAAACACTCCATACATATTTTCCTATTGAAGAAATATCTTTTGAAACTTGTCCTGATCTTTTTGTCACATCTATTGGAAGTGCAAGAATTGAGGCTGAATGATTCTTAAATTTGATTATTGTGCAGTTTTCCCCCTTCATCAGACAAAGCCTTATTTGAGCATAAAAATTTATCAATGATGCAGACTTAAAATGTAATGTGC